ATACGGCTAGAATAAAAATTATAAATAACATTACATACATTTTTAACCGAGTTTATGTAGAGGCAGATTTTTAGGGCAGTAAATACTTTTTAGTAATTTTTTTTTGGCTTTTGAGTTTAATATTTTTAATATAGTTTTAATTATTTAATTAATTAGCCACAAGTGATCAATTCTTATTATATATTAGCATCTTTAACAATTTTATTCTAGTTTTGCTTATATTAATTAATTACAAAACAATATTAATTTATTTGTGTAAAAGTTAACTGTTTAGTCACGTAAATATTTTTCAGTGATTAATTATAATTAATTAATAATAAAAGATAACTATGAAGTTATAATAATATATGTTGAAAGTTATATATATATATATATAAAATAATCCATACACAGAATAAGTGTAAAAAAAAAAATTGTTTATACTTACATTAAATAGATTTACATTGCGTTTTTCCTGGATTGACATAACTGAACAGGTTGTTTGCTCTATTGAATCATCGCGACATGACATATTTTTTCGAAAATCGTGTGATTTTAATTGAATGGCAGTTCTTGATTGATATCCATTTTCACTCTCTAAAATTAGATCATTATTGTTAACTTTTGGTTATAAAATAACTTAGAAAAATAATTTAATTACTATTTTGTTCGAAATAAAATATTATAAAGTTTTTTTAAAGAATATTTAATCTTGTACATTGATATGACAATTATGTTTTTCAAAATAATAATTGAAAATAATTTATTTATATAATTTCTTTACGAAGACAAAGTGACAGTTTTAAAATATTTAGATAAAAATTATTATATTATTGAATTATAATGTAAACATCGTGATTGAATTTTTTTGTTGTTGAATTTACTATTATTTAATTATTATTATAAATATGGCATTATTTTTAGTTTCATGAAATATAAATTGCTTAGCGAAGCATACTTTTAGAAAATTAACTTATTACACTTATTTAATTGCCCGAATGAAAGTTTCAAAATTAAAGTAAAATTATATAAGTAATAATGTTTAAAATGTTGAACATTTTTAAGAACTACATTAAATTTTATCGTTCCTATAAATGTCATCACCATAAAACATTTATTAACAAATAATGATTGTAAAAAAAAAAAATTATTTCCGCTGTGATTTAAATTCACATAGAAAAGTTATTTTCAGTTAAACTGAAACTTATCGAAACTTAAATGGAATCTAATCAAGAAGGAAACAATGCGGTTACACGTAGTCCTTTATTCCTATCAAATGTTTTTTTGATCGTTGTGGTTTAAAATTCAATATAAAAGAGTAATAAATTATTATTGACCATTATTCGTTTGAGTAACTGTTTTATTTACAGTAGTCATCGTATTTCGTTAATCTCAACTGCATATAGGTAATGTTACGCATTAAAATTAATAATATAACTTTTTGATCATTATACCAATGTTAATTTATACTTGTGTTTTATAATATAGTGAATATAATTATGAAATGAGAGTATAAATAATAATTTAATAGTAAACTATTATTTATATATTATTGTCCGTTTACGTTTGTTTTTATAGCTAAATTAGAAATTATAACGAACGTTACTTAAATAAATTTTATAACAAATATAATAAAATTGTAATATTATCTTTCAAAAAATTGACAAACTATTTTTCAATAGCTTACACAGAAAACATGAATGGTTAATATAGTGACAACTCTAATAAAAACAGTCGGAATAATTAAAAAAATAGTCGGGTTAACCGAATATTCAGTTATTCCAACTGTCTTGTTTGCAATAGTCACTATATCAACCGTTTCTTTTATTATTCTAACCATTTTTTTTTCGTATAATAAATACAGAGTGACCCTTCATGTTTTGATAAAACTAATAACTAAATCTCTAAATATTTGTGTTACTTTTTTTTTAAACATTTTAAAATAGCCGTTTCTTAAAGTTTATATATATATATATATATATATTATTAAAAAATAATAGTAACACAAAATAATGAGTAGACTAAAAGTTACTAGATTTGTCTATATATCGAGGATCACTTTTTATGTCAAATAATAAATAATAATATAATTTTTTTTCATTTAATCGCAAGTAAAATAAGTGATGCAAATTAATAAAAAAGTTGTGTCGAATATTCGAAAATTAATCTGTAATAAATTTGCATTTTGAAATAGCGATATTAAAAAAATTTATCAAATGGACTTTATACTTTAAATAACACATTTTATTGACTTGCATGAATAAAAATGTATTTTTAATTGAGATAATTATTCATAAATGAAAATTAAATTAAAATCTGTGAACTTTTATTTTATTTTTATTCGTATAATAGTCCCTACTATAATTTGAAAACAATTATTTGTCACAAACTTTATGGTATTATAATTATTCAAATTTTATAAATGAGAGTACTCAAAAAATATTATAAAACATTTTTTCAACAAACTTATCATGTTAGAGGAAGGTAACTGTTACAAATATGTGTATATTGACTGTTTAAATATTTATTTGTATACATAAATATACTTTACATACTAATTTAACTGTACTTATTAGACAATTAATATAGCTGTTATAATGACTGACAAAAAGAGTTTATTGTACCTATTCGATCGACCCACTGAACCCATTTTTGCCGGAAAAGGAAACGAAAAATCTCCTCAGGATGCTGGAAAAGTTTATTTTGAATTGCCGAATGAATATTTGGTAAGCTTTATAATAACGTAATTATTGCAAACTGTTCGATCGCCACCAGTGTTTTTGTGAATAAAAATCATGTTACGTAAAAAAACGACTTAATCTTTTTAAAACAAAAGTGATTTTGAATTTAATTAGAATTACACTTGGGGTTCAAAACGTATTATCTGCTATAATATAGTTTTTTTAAGACTGAAATGTTTAAAAAAGGTATGTAATAAAATACATTTACTAGAAAAGGAGAGCAATTTTGAAATTTTACGTTTAAATACACAAAATTTTTTTTTTAATATTTACTTGATTCATTAGTATATGGTTTTGAAACATTTATGTAAAAAAAATCGTTCTAATAGTATTTTAATTAAATTATAGCTTAGGAACAATATTTTCGTACTTAAAACAAAGCTCATAACACATTTAATAATTAACAAAAGATAATAATTATTTTAATAAACAATACTCTTATAATCAAAATTCATGATTTTATTAAACCAAGTTAAATTTTTAAATAACAAAGTTTTTAACCTTAAAAATACCTATTAAATTATTTAAAATAAGTAATTTATAATATTCATTAAAAAGTATGCATATTACAGCCAACTCGCTACCAAAGCATTTCGTCTGGTTTGGACACGAGGTTCCAAGATCAAGACAGCAAACATAAAGCAACGTATATACCAGTAACCAAACTGAGCAAACTGCCAGATATATCGTTTGCCTTGGCTTTGAAAAGAGATACAGCATTTTGTTTATTCAATTCCTATCACAACGAAATAGCTGGAAAGTTAATCGAGCTATTGATGAGTAAGAGTGCACTCATTTACTTTCTTAAGCGAAAATTATTATAAAAACTTGTAATTTCTGTTCAAAGGTACAAAGAATTTTGACGAACTTTTATCCCTTAGTTTGTATCTCCGGGACCGCATCAATTCATATTTGTTCATTTATGCATTGTCCGTGGTTGTACTTCACAGACCCGACACTCGTAATCTTGAACTACCGTCACACGCGCAAATGTTTCCGGGAATGTACGTGAACTCAACAAACTTTGGTCAAGCCAGACAAGAATCTAATTTGATCCCAGCCGAGAATAGGGTAAATAGTGTTTTTTTTTTTTTTTACTTTGCCGTTGACAGTCACACCACAGATTTCTGATGGTTAATCGATATTAGATTGTATTTGAAATTTATTTAGAAATAATTTCAGGTACCTATTGAAATACCTAACGACTTTTCGGCAAATGATTTGGACATCGAAAATAGGGTCAACTATTTCCGTGAAGATATTGGATTGAACCTTCATCATTGGCATTGGCATTTGGTGTACCCTTATAGAGGACCAAGAAATGTCGTTGCCAAAGACAGGCGTGGTGAACTATTTTATTACATGCACCAGCAGATGATGGGCAGGTAAGTTATTGGTTTAAAAAGTTTTCATAATTTAAAAAAATAATTTTTCCTAAGATATAACATGGAACGATTGTGTAATGATATGGCACGAACAAAACGTTTGACAAACTGGTATGAGCCAATTGCCGAAGGTTATTTCCCAAAATTAGATAATTTACTGGCTAGCCGAACATGGCCTTCCAGACCACCAAATTCTATACTGAGCGTATTTATCTTTAGTCGTACTTTTTAAGTCATACTTATGTTATACTAATTTTTTTTTGTTATTCTAGAATATCAACAGGGAGGTTGAAAGACTTCAGTTTGACATTGAAGATTTAGAACGCTGGAGGGACCGTATTTACAAAGCCATTCACACTGGAACCATAACCGACGTAATCATTTTTTATTAAAAAAGAAACAATTAAATTAAAAATTGATGAGATGTCTATGAAATTTTTAATAGACCACAAAGCATGTATTGCTGACTAATTAAAACAATATGTTTTTAATTTTTTAGACTGCTGGACAAAAAATTAGACTGACAGAGTTTGAAGGAATAGATATACTTGGAGATTTGGTCGAAGCAAGTATTTTAAGCCGAAATCCTAACTTATACGGAAATTTGCATAATTCTCTTCATAACGCCATTTCTTATATACACGATCCTGACAGTAGATATTTGGTACGTTGACCCTTGTAATGTAATGGTATTTATCTTTGAATAATTATTTAGTAAACTTCGTTATTCAAATGAAAACTATTTACGATATTATATATATATATACATACAGAGTGTTCAGTAAGTATGGGAACAGGTCAATTAATACAAATAATAAGAACAATAGAAACCCGTTTCCTTACTTAGTGAACACTCTATACATTTATATTTATTCAGTACTTTTTAAAATGTATCAAATTATTCATATTTTAGCTTCGATGCGAAGCTGAGAAGGTATTAATTTTACTAAGATGTGTTTATTTTTTATTTATTTATTTTTTTTTTGTATCTGTTACCACTTTTTCTCAGCTCTCACCGAACCAATTTCTTTCAATGATACGTCAAAAGATCACAAATTGTATCTAGTCGAAGACATTACCCTCAAAAATTGAAAAAAATGCCCTCGTTCCCCGTAAATGGGGGAAACCTCCAAAAAAATTACAAATTTAAAAATCGCTAATTTTCGAAATTTTTTCAATTTTTTTTACT